TCTCCGCCCACCGCCCATCTGATTTGTTGGGAGTCAGGAGTTTGACCAATCAATGGAATTCACTCTCACTCCGAAAGCGCTTGCTAACTGGAGCTGCTTCAGTGATCACGCGTGACGCGTCAGTTGTCTCTCAAAGGTAAGGCAGCAGCAGACGTTGCTTAAGTTGCAATAGATCCCAATCCACTAACGTTACACTGAAGTTGCAAAACACCTCAATATTATCTATGGATTTCCGCGATGCAGAAAATGTGGACGGAATCGCGGAATCCAGTCATATAAATGGAATTTACTGTATGATGCGGAATGTCACGGAATTTGTCAGTTTGGATGAATTAATCAAAAGTATGTCAGTACACTTAAATAGTCGCGATATGGACTAGTATCTGTAATTATTAAGCCGTAAAAATACTATTTAAATATTAATCCTGCATGTCTGTGTATGTAAATGGTACAGACGGGCGTTTTTTTTTTTTTTTACACATACAAAGTGTGTGACGCTCGCGGTGATTTCAGCTTCTGTCGTCTCACTACATGAGGACATAAATACATGAACAACATCTCCAGAACTGCTCTGACTCCCTCTGAGTCACTTCATGATCATTTGACAGTTTCACTTGAGTAAAACAGTGAAATGTTTCCCACAGACTTGTGGAGGCATATATATGCAAATTCATTCTCCGGCAGCAAGAGGCGCTGTTCGAGGCAGTGTCACATCGTCACTAAAGTTTATAAATTGCATTACATTTTAATTCTTGCCAATTCAGGAGCGGTGCGTCTGCAGCAGTGCAGTGATCGTTTCCACACCGAGTCTATTGCTGCGCTGCAAGCTCTGAATTAAAGTAACAGCGCATTGTTTGCAGTAAATATGAACATGGATTGACACGAAAATGTAGTAAATACATAATAAATGCATATTATTAAAGTCTACTGTGTTTCACAATCAACACATATGGCTTTTTGGCTAGGTTTAAAAGAAAAGAGCACTTTTTGATAAACAAGGCAATAACAGATGGCACTCGTGGAGGTAGGAAAAGGTAGGAAAGTTGAACCGCAGCATTGCTTGTAATAAAGGTTTCAATGCAAAAGAAAAGGCAGTAGAGCTGTCTATTTCTGTCAATGGTAAGTTTGTGATAACGTAAGAAAAGCAGTTTAAATGTTTTGACACTTGCTTGAGCAGCATGCGATTTATCGTGCAGCCCTAATATATACATTTATATAAATTAGAAAAGCAAAAAAAAAATGTAAAAGAAATTAATATCAACCCATTGATGGAGCCATAGACAGGTGCTTACCCAGCATTCCTCCAGCCACCAGGATGTCAAAGAGTGTCTCAGCATACCGGCGGTAGTCGAGCTTGGCGCCGGAGGCATCGAGGAACTTTGCAACCGCTTCCAAATCTGTGCCAGTTTGGTTCAAGCCTTGAACAATACTTTCTTGAAACTGAGAAGGGTCAAATCTCTCCTTTTCATCTGTGAGGAAACAAGAGAGAGTTTCAAATGGGAGGCACCGCTTTCAAACATTGCTATTAAAAAGTTCCTCAGTCTACTTACCTCTTTTCCGAGTTTTAAAACGCTGGCCGGTAAGCGTTGGCTTTTGCTGCTTTTGATTATTCATAAAAGACACCTGTGAAAACACAATGAAAATATTAGTGAACATATGTGTTCTGATTCATATCATTGAGGAGCACAAAGAAACCACATGTAGATGTGGCAGGACATTTCAAAACCCAACAAAGCCATCAAAAAGTTTCTAACAGAAAATTTGCAAAATAACACCTTAAACTTCATAAACGACTTAAACATTTAATAACTGGTTTAATTGCAGATCCAGTTAAACCATTAGTAATTAATCCAAGTCAGGTTGCCTCGTGAGCAAATCATACACACGTTAATATTTCTCATATAAAACCAATTCATACTTTTATATGGATATATTGCTGTATAAAAGTATTTAATTGAATTAGTATGATTTTATAGGTCTGAACTGCAACTCACGCGCCGGTCTCGCGCTAAAGCTAACCGGCTAAAATGATGAGGCCTAACCGGTCCGAATCTTGTTTAAAACCAACCTTTAATCACTATTTAAATGCATTTCCAATTCAAACGAGGGCGATGCTAATGATTA